ACAGCGGGGGCCAGGCTGGGGAGGGATAGCATGGGAAGAAATGCCAAATGTGGGTGAAGGGGAGGAAGGCAGCAAATCACACTGCCACGTGTGTACCTATGCAACTATCTTGCAAGTTCTGCACATGTATCCCAAAACCTAAAATGCAATAAAAAAATAGAAAAAGAAAAAGAAAAGGAGTCAGATTGGGTGATATTTTGAAAGTAGAGTTGACAAGATTTGCTAGTAGAGAGGATGTGTGGTATGAGAGGAAGACAGAAATCAAAAATGATAGATGAGCCTGATAGGGGAAGACAAGAGGAAACACTAAGTGGTTCAGGAAAATCAAGAGTTTTGCTTTGGATATGTTATGTCTGAAGTGTTTGTTGGATACTCAATTAAAAGTGCCAAATCAGCAATTGCAAATATGCATCTGGATCTCAGGAGAAAGGTGAGGCTAGAGATATAAATTCACAGTTATTAGTGTATTGATTGTATTTAAAGCCATAGACTAGATGAGAGTATCTAGGGAGTGAGTGTATGTTTAAAAAAGAGAAGAGGTTAAAAAGATGAATTCCTGAGGCACTGTAACATGTAGAGTCAAACAAGGAAAGAGGAACTAGCACAGGAAACTGAGAGCATGCCAGTGAGGTAGGAAGTAAACCAGGAATCTGGTGTCACAGAGGCCAAAGCAAGAAAAAATGCTTATAGAAGAAGAAAAATTATAAACTACATCAAATCTTGTCAAAAGCAGGAGTGATGAGAGGACCAAGATTGACCATTGGATTTGCTAACACCAAGGTTAGTGGGAGGACTATTGACAACACTGGTTTCCTTGTAGTGTTGAAGACAAATGTCTCATTGATGTGAGCTCAAGGGAATACAGGAAATGAGAATATAGAGACATGTGTTTAAACTGTTCTTTCAAGAATTGTTATCAAATGGTTCATCTGTGTGGATGTTGATGCCACCCAGATTAATGATGGCAATAACATCACTAGAAAGTTACAGACATAGGAATGTGACAGAGGGTCCTTGGAAGAACTGGGCATGGGGGAAAGGGACTTTCAGAAGGGAATTTCAATGCTTAATTTATCAGGTAAGGTATACTCATTTTGAGTAAGTATACTTTGTCAGAGTCTAGCTTTTCTCTCTGCAGAAAATGTTAAAAGCTCAACTTGGAAAAAGCCTCATTTGGCCAGTGGCACCATCAGGGTGTGTTGCCAGTATGTGTACCAAGAGGCTGCACAAGATGGTGTTTGTGAATTTTGTGAATGTACCATGGTCCAGAGGTTCATCTGAGAACAGCTTCACCCTTCAGTGGTGAGCTCATATAGCCCAGGCTCACAGGGCCAGTGTAGAAACAAGCAGCATGTGGATTTATTTCCAGTGGGAAATCTAACAGTAACATGGCATGGAATATAGTTGTCCTGAGGTATACATGGGGGATTGATTCCATCCAGTACCCTCCTCCACCAAAGATACCAAAATCCATACATTTTCAGGTACCTTATAAAAAATGGCATAGTATTTACATATAACTTATACACATTCTCTCAGATACTTTAAATCATGTCTAGATTACTTATAAAACCTAATAGAATATACGTGCTATGTAAATAGTTGTTATATTGGATTGTTTAGGGAATAATGACCCCCCAAAAAAGTCTGTACATGTTTAGTACCGGCACTACCATCTTTTAAAAAAATATTTTCTATCCACGGTATGTTGAAAGTGGAAGCCGTGGATATGGAGGGCCAATTGTAATTGTGTTCATGTAACAGGCTGTTTTTCCACATTGGAAAACCTGCTTAGGAAGTCTAATAGCAGTAAGAACTCTCATTCATTATTACCCATGGAATCTAGAATACTTAGTTGCCTGGTAGGCCCACAATCAGAACAGAGGAACTTAAATAAACCCAACAAATAAAGGCATCAGGCTAAGATGAATCCATTTCACAGTAGGAATAGTTTTGCAAAAGGGTGAGAGATTGAAAGTCTGTTAAATGCAGCATATTGCATATATCTCCATAATAGGAAAGGCCTTGCCCGTGAGATGGGATGTCTTAACATTTTTTTTTTTTTTTTTTTTTTTTTTTTTTTTTTTGCTAAAGCCATCCTCCTAGATGGTATTGGAATGAGCCACCTTCATTTGATGCTTCCATGGCTAACAACCTTCCAAAATTTGAATCCATTCTTTCTTTGTATATGTTAATATAATCATTTTTCTTTTTGAGAGGTGGTGGTATCCCACCTCTTAAAAAGAAAAAAGCTCAAAAGTGAGCTATGATCACACCAGCCTGAAGTACAGTGGTGTGATCATAGCTCACTGTAACCCTGAACTCCTAGGCTCAAGTGATTCTCTCACCTCTGCCTCCCCAGTAGCTGGGGGTACAGGCATGCACCATTACACCCAGCAATATAATTATTTTTAAGCAGTGTTTCTTGGATTCTAGTTCTGTAGACCTTGATAGTATACACACAAGTATGCATGCTTTTGTGTGTGTGCGTGTGTGTGTGTCTGTGTCTGTGTGTGTCTGTGTAAATGGAGGGAGGAAGGGAGCAAGCATTTTACATTCCAAGTGCACAGACTTTTACTCTTTACTACTGTCTTGTTAGCCAGATGAGATCTGTCTTACCTATTATACATACTGGGTCTCCAAATGAGCTTCTCTTTTAAGATAAGGGTTCTGGTATTTAAAATATTTGAAAACTATTTTGTTAATATTACATTCAGACTGGGCATGGTGGCTGACACCTGTAATCCAAGCACTTTGGGAGGCTGAGGTAGGAGAATCACTTGAGCCCAGGAGTTTGAGACCAGCCTGGACAGCACAGGGAGACCCCATTTCTATAAAAAATAAAAAAGTTAGCCTGGCATGGTGGCATGTGCCTGTAGTCCCAGCTACTCTGGAGGCTGAAGTGGAAGGATCACTTGAGCCTAGGAGGTCGAGACTGCAATGAACTATGATCGTGCCATTGCTCTCCAGCCTGGGTGACAGAGTGAGACGTTGTCTCAGAAAAACAAAAATATTACAGTCATGACTTGGCATGGAAGTTCTTTCTCTATAAAATGACTCCCTACAACTGTTTTGATTCATTTTGTATCAATTCTGCTATTTAATATATTATTTTATTTACTTCATTTACAGTGTAGTACAGGAATAGTCTCCAAATATGGCCAAGAGTGAGTAAGGTAGACAAAGAATTTGGAGTAGAAACTGCGTAGACCAAAAGCCAGTGACTAAAGGACAGTCTTTTGACATGTGTCAGAATGTTAAAGTACACAAAGTACAACTTTCTACTTTCTGAAAATTCAGTAAGTGTTAGAATGGTATTCCAGCACCAAATGCACTGTAAATTGAGAACGTTGCCTTAAATTACTTCTCTGCTAAAGTTAATAAGGAAAAAGTTAAGGAAAAATGATATACATCTATGTAGTCATTTTGATACAAGTGTACAAATGGAAAATCATGGACTAGAACTAGAAAGTGATGAAACTGAGTTCATAAGCTCCAGCGTATTGCAGCATTTTGTAGCCACTTTGGCAGTAATTGGCACTGTTTGCTGGTGATGGCGAGGGCTAGGAGTGTTGCTCTGTCTGTGTTCACAGACCCAGTCAACCTGCACATCACCATTTATCTTCTTCATGCTGCACTCATCTACTCTTTCATCTTGCAGCTATTATTTTGAGCACCTACATGCAGAAAGGGAACCAACTCAGTTTTTAAAATTTTATATGCGGGAAAGAACATGGGTACAATATTAGCAGTAGTAAGAATAATTAGCAATGAATACTAATGTTAATTATTTTCTCTTCTCAACTCCCAATTTTTTAAGAAAAGTTTTTTCTGACAAAAGTTTCTGGGTAGCAAGCAGCGTTTTGATTTCCAATTACTTTACCATCAAAAGCATTTTCAAAAGAAAATGACAGTTGAGATCACTACACGTTTTTAAAAATATCTCCACAGAACAAAATAATGAAATACAATTTTAACCTGAAAATTGGCCTGAAATGCGTTTTTAGAATTGGATTGCAATTGTCCTATTGTCACATTAATAAAATATTGTAAATGCCAATGCTACCTACAAAGTTGTTCTCAATTTGATTCAGAACTGCAGTGAAGGGATTTACTAGGGACAATATAAAAATGGTTATTTTATATTCCTACCTGTGTTTTCATAAAGAGCAGTCTTTCTGTAGTGTTACCTGCTCTATTAATATATAAATATTTGTTTTAATTCAAAGATGTTGCCACTTTTATATTTTCTTTTTTTTTATTTTTTATTTTTTTTTTATTTTTTATTTTTTTTTTTTTAATTTTTTATTGGATTATAGGTTTTGGGGTACATGAGCAGAGCATGCAAGACAGTTGCGTAGGTACACACATGGCAGTGTGCTTTGCTTTTCTTCTCCCCTTCACCCACATTTGGCATTTCTCCCCAGGCTATCCCTCCCCACCTCCCCCTCCCACTGGCCCTCCCCTTTTCCCCCCCAATAGACCCCAGTGTTTAGTACTCCCCTTTCTGTGTCCATGTGTTCTCATTTTTCATCACCCACCTATGAGTGAGAATATGCGGTGTTTCATTTTCTGTTCTTGTGTCAGTTTGCTGAGGATGATGTTTTCCAGATTCATGACATTGAGGATCATTTTTCTACTAATGGTTTGTCCTCATTTTTTAATCATCACAAAAATGAATTTGTTTTACATATTTATTGTAAGAGCCATATTGACCATTTGAGGGTCCTACATAGGTATAATAAACATGTCACTTTTTAAAAGTTTAAATAATTTTTTTGATGTGCTATCATTTGGAAAAATCTCAATTTGCATTGCAGTATCAGTCATTATACTTGCAGCATAATTTTCTGGATGGAATTGTCCTTCCAATTAGGCCTTGTGAGTTCAGTCTGTAGTCCAATTACGATTCTCAGGATACATTTCAACAGACTTGCTTATCAGTTTGTATCCAGCTTATTTGAATGTGACATTTGAATTGCTGTTTCTGTGCTTCTCAGTTCAAATCCTGTGCTCAAAAATATGTGGCCTGAAGGCAAACTGAGCATTACAGAGGTGACCAAGCGACCTCTGACTGCTGCTGCCTTGTTTAAGAATTCTATGATTGCTCTAGTAGACAACCTTGCATCAAAGGTAATTATTTTCTTTTCTAAATACCCATTTTAGCTCATAGATTTTTCTTGATACTTATAAAGAATGTATATATGATTTGCTTTTTAGATAATCATATGTAAATTGCAGAATATATATAAAGTGCATGTTATAATAGAATTTTTATTCCTGCATTCTTAAAAACCTTGCCTCAGTGGAACAGTTGTTTGTGTCCTAGATTAGTATCTATCTTAAATTTGGGCTTTTTATTCTGTCATGATCAAGGGGAAAATCTTAGATTTAAAAAAAATATATAAGGTATAGCATGCCCAGCAAAAGGAACTTCAGTCCTGTGCTGAAAACAGGACCAGGCCAAAATAAGTAAGTAAAATCTTGAATTAAATTGTAAAATGCACCATTTATTTATTGCATTTGAGTACAAAATGGCCAGAGAGTTCTAAGAGGAAATTTAGTATGCAAGTATTGTCCTTAGACTATTTTAAATAGTTGAAATATAAAAAGATGTATTGTCCTGGACATTGTGGGTCACATCTATAATCCCAGTACTTTGGAGTCCAAGGCAGGAGGATCACTTGAGACCAGCCTGGGCAATATAGTGAGACTCCTTTCTACAAAAAGTTAAAAAAATTAGCCAGGCATGGTAGCATGCATCTGCAGTCCCAGCTACTCAGGAGGCCAAGGTGGGACAATCACTCGAGACCAGCCTGGGCAATATAATGAGACATCCTCTACAAAAACTTAAAAAATTAGCCAGGTCTGGTGGTGCATGCCTGTCGTTCCAGCTACTCAGGAGGCTAACGTGGGATGATTGCCTGAGCCTGGGAGGCAGAGGTTGCAGTGGGCCAAGATCACACCATTGCACTCCAGCCTGGGTGACAAAGCAAGATCCTGTCTCAAAAAAAAAGAAAAAGAAAACATGTATTATTGACAATTATTTGTGTTCTTTATTGTTCCCTTGAGAACTAATACTATTTGATAATGTTTGCCTGTATTTTTCCTTAAAGAACAGATTTCTACTCTTAACTGCTGCTGTTGACAAGTTTGATAAATTAGGCAGCATTCTGAGCCCTGTTATTTTTAGTTTCTTCATTTTTATCTTTCTCTTCTGGTGCTTCTTCTATGTAGTTTCTTCTTCGTTATCTTTTTTTTTAAAAAAAATCAACTTCCTCTCTAAGAATTTAAATCTATAGTTTCTGGTTACTTCACTACAGATAAATTAGGCAAATGCCACAGGAACACATCTGTTCAGTAGCTTTCTATTTCCTTTTGTCAGAATTTGTTGGCCTCAAGTGACTACATGTAAACACAATTTGTTGGCTTGTATAATCAAACCTCTGGAAGGGCAGGGTAAGGACACTGGCACTGAAGGCTAGAATGCCATTAGGACTCTTCACTCTTGTATCTCAGCCTGCTTCATCCAGCAAGAAGAAAAGTGAACCTGGAAGGAAGGCACATGACACAAGAAACAGTTGAATACTGAATTTCATGAAATATTTTTAAATACTCAAAGTTACTTGATTAACTAGAAAAGGAATTGTTTTGTTTTCTAAACTTGGTAGTTAATGTGCCTTGTAAAGAAATAAAAATTCTAGAACCTTCTACAATTTCTGTATCAGGAATTGCATTCAACTTCTGGTAAAACAGATCCTGAATTAGTGGCTTAAATAAGACAGACATTTATTACTGTCTCCTATAAGTGAAGTATAGAAGAAGGCATCCCAGGACTGGTATAGTAGTTTCAAAGTTATTAGAGACCCAAGTTCTTTCTGTCTTTCTGCTCTACCATCCTTGTGCTTGGCACCCATCCTCCTGTTCCATGATGGCAGCTGGAACTTCTTCCTTTTTAAAGAGACTTCCTGGAAGTTTGACACAGCACTTTTACTATACTCCATTTGCTACACAGAGTTGTAGAATGCCGGGAAGGGCATTTTCATTCTGGTCAGCTGTGCACTCAGCTAGCTATAAGTATTCTATTTTAAAGTAAGAAAAAGATGCTGGATATAAGGTAGGCAGCTAGCCTAGCAATCTCTGCTACAGCTTCCTAATCCATGTGTGCGTGGAGGTGAGGGGAGAAGGAAGGGAGCCAAGGGTAAGCAGAAGAATATAGACAACTTACCAGTACAGTAGAAGGCAAAAAGGTGAAGCCAGAGTGAGGAGTCCTAGAGGACAGCAGGAAAAAAAAGTTGCATTTAGAACAAAATAATTGAAATAAATAAAAATAATTGACATTCATCATAATGTAAATTGATTAAGCAGACTAGTTAGGTGAAAAATCCAGCTATATGCTGCTTACAGGAGGCACACATAAATAACACTATGTAGAAAGCTCAAAAAGAGACGTAGATAAAGATAACAAGCCATCTCAACAAAATAACAAAATGAAATATACATGGAACATTTACATGAATTGATCACAAAATAGATGACAAAGGAAGTCTCAACCATTTTGGGTTTTTCTGTGTCAGGAATTGCATTCAACTTCTGGTAAAACAGATCCTGTTGTTTTGAGGTAAATGAGCTATGTGTGTGTGTTTTTTGAAATGGAGTCTTCCTTTGTTGCCCACAGTGGGGTGCCATGGTACAATCTCGGCTCACTGCAACCTCTGCTTCCTGGGTTCAAGCAATTCTCACACCTCAGCCTCTGGAGTAGCTGGGATTACAGCCATGTGCCACCACATCTGGCTAAATTGTTTTGTGTGTGTGTGTGTTTTTTAGTAGAGACAGGGTTTCACCATATTGGCCAAGTTGGTCTTGAACTCCTGATCTCAGGTCATCCACCCACCTTGGCCTCCCAAAGCACTGGGATTATAGGCCTGAGCCACCACACCAGCTGTCTCAACCATTTTGAAGAAGTGCATATACAGATACATTTTTTTGTCTTCAAAGCAAGTAAAATAAAAATCAGCATTAAAAAAAATTTTAATGTTTGGGAATTGAAAAAATTACTCTCCTAAATAGGCCATAGGTTGGAGAGGAAATCACAATGGAAATTACAAAATATTTGGAAGTGCATGACAAAGAATTTGTTAAAATTTATAGAATACTGCTAAAGTGATCCATTTGTTATGCCTTTATAAAATAACAAGAAAGACTGAAAAGTAAATGAGTGAAGTTCAACTCAAGAAGCCAGAAAAAGAGCTCCAAAGAAAACCTAAAGAAAAAAGTAAGAAAATAATTTTTAAAATAGTAAAATTTTAAAATAATAGAACAAAAATGTAATCAATAAGACCACTAATAAAGCTGATAAATTTAAAAATTATGAACAAAAAAAGGGATTTTACTGTGTAGGCATTATGGAGATTTTTTTTTTAAAACATCAGAGTATAGCTAACTATGCCAATAAATTTGAAAATGATGGTTTTCTTAAAAAAAAAAAAAGTCATCAAAATTAATTCAAGAAGAAAGGAACAACCTGAATATATCAGTAACCTTAAAGAATCTGAGTAACTGATGATAAGTACACCATTTCACAACTTTGCCAAGGACATCAGCTCCAGATGGTTTTACAAATCGGTTTTATTAAAATCTTTGAGGAGCCATTAATCTCTATCATGTTTTGGAGGATGGGAAGAAGAGAGCCAACTACTCAAGTCATTTAATGAGATTAATATTACCTTAATACCAGCTTAATATGAGAAAATAAAATTAGAGATCAATTTAACTTAGAAACATAGCTGTAAAGACCTTCAAATATATGAATAATGCATTTTCTGGCAATATGGTGAATGAGGTGCCCAATAAAGTCAAATGAAAACAACTAAAATGTTAGATAAAATGTAGAAATCAACATCATGAATACAGCCATGAACTAACAAAAAGTAAAAAATATCCAAGCCAGGAGCTGAGTGTATGTAGAATTTACCAGAGTGAGGGAAAAAGTAACTCCTAAAGCTGCCCCTCACCCTGTGGGAATTTGTTGAAGTAGTTAACTTTGAATATAGTTATTCAAGGCTGGATCCTTGAAGTGAAGCCCAGGGTGTGCCCAAAGTAGCGTGTCTAATAAGAAATTCTGTGCGCACATACACACACACACACACACAATGGTGAGTGTTCAAAAGGCTACATGTAGAGTGAACTAGAAATAATTTCCCATTATCAGTAAGGAAAACTGCCTGTTTGGTACTTGTCACTGACCCATGGGTAGAAAGGGTGTGAATTTCTCTTGAGGATTTATAATCATAAGAGAGCTTTTAGGAGGTTTGCAACCCAAATTAATACTACCTGGGTAGCTTGAAAAAGCCTCAAACCAACAGTTTGATTAAAGGTGGTTCAGGTCTTATATTGCCCCAGGCATCTGAAAAAAGCAAGTAAAAATGTTTTCCTTAAGGAAACTATCTTCATACTGTCACAGGATCCTTGGGGTGTCACTTTTATGGCTGGAAACCTTTGTGGCTGGTGGTGCCTTCACCTGAGTTTTGCTCAAGCCTGCTGGACTTGTTCCACCCACTCAATCTGGCAGGCTATGCTTGGCTTGCACTACCAGCCTGGATTCCACACCTGCGAAGGGCGAGCCTGGCACAGAATGGCAAGGGGTGTGCAAGTGAGCAAGCGTGAGATCCAGCCACTGCATACAGCCAAGCACACTGGCTTTGGCAGGGCAGGTGGTTCCAGATGCCAGCACAGGCACTGGTTCCCTGTGAGGCTGCAGCCAGACCAGGTATACTGCAAGCAGCTTCCAAGGCTGGCACCAGGGAATGCAATGGTACCTGGAAGCTTGGAAATACCAAGAACTGCAGAGCCCCAAAGAGAGTGTTTCAGCCCTGGCTTGCGGAGCTCCTCAAGGGGTATGCAGGTGAGCAAGCTTAAGGTTCAGCCACTGCACACAGCCAAGCACACCAGCTACATGAGGGCGGGCAGCTCCAGGAACCAGCACAGGAACTGGTTTCCTGCGATGCTGCAGCTGGTCCTGGCATACTGCAAGTAGCTTCCATGGCTGGCACCAAGGAATGCAGTGTGCTCGGAAGCTTGGAAATACCAGGAGCTGCAGAGCCCCAAGGAGAGTGTTTCAGCCCTGGCTTGGG